CAGGGTATTCAGAGAGGTACGGTAGGATTATCAGGGTATTCAGAGAGGTACGGTAGGATTATCAGGGTATTCAGAGAGGTACGGTAGGATTATCAGGGTATTCAGAGAGGTACGGTAGGATTATCAGGGTATTCAGAGAGGTACGGTAGGATTATCAGGGTATTCAGAGAGGTACGGTAGGATTATCAGGGTATTCAGAGAGGTACGGTAGGATTATCAGGGTATTCAGAGAGGTACGGTAGGATTATCAGGGTATTCAGAGAGGTACGGTAGGATTATCAGGGTATTCAGAGAGGTACTGTAGGACTATCAGGGTATTCAGAGAGGTACGGTAGGATTATCAGGGTATTCAGAGAGGTACGGTAGGATTATCAGGGTATTCAGAGAGGTATGGTAGGATTATCAGGGTATTCAGAGAGGTACGGTAGGATTATCAGGGTATTCAGAGAGGTACGGTAGGATTATCAGGGTATTCAGAGAGGTACAGTAGGATTAGCAGGGTATTCAGAGAGGTATGGTAGGATTAGCAGGGTATTCAGAGAGGTACGGTAGGATTATCAGGGTATTCAGAGAGATACGGTAGGATTATCAGGGTATTCAGAGAGGTACTGTAGGACTATCAGGGTATTCAGAGAGGTACGGTAGGATTATCAGGGTATTCAGAGAGGTACAGTAGGATTAGCAGGGTATTCAGAGAGGTATGGTAGGATTAGCAGGGTATTCAGAGAGGTACGGTAGGATTATCAGGGTATTCAGAGAGGTACGGTAGGATTATCAAGGTATTTAGAGAGGTACAGTAGGATTAGCAGGGTATTCAGAGAGGTACGGTAGGGCTATCAGGGTATTCAGAGAGGTACGGTAGGATTATCAGGGTAATCAGAGAGCTATGGTAGGATTATCAGGGTATTCAGAGAGGTACGGTAGGATTAGCAGGGTATTCAGAGAGGTACAGTAGGATTAGCAGGGTATTCAGAGAGGTACGGTAGGATTAGCAGGGTATTCAGTACAGTAGGATTAGCAGTTTATTCAGAGAGGTACGGTAGGATTAGCAGGGTATTCTGAGAGGTACGGTAGTATCAGCAGGGTATTCAGAGAGGTACAGTAGGATTATCAGGGTATTCAGAGAGGTACAGTAGGATTAGCATGGTATTCAGAGAGGTACAGTAGGATTAGCAGGATATTCAGAGAAGTACGGTAGGATTGGCAGGGTATTCAGAGAGGTACGGTAGGATTAGCAGGGCATTCAGAGAGGTGCGGTAGGATTAGCAGGGTATTCCGAGAGGTACAGTAGGATTAGCAGGGCCCTCAGAGAAGGTAGGATTGGTAGTGGCGCTCACAGAGGTAATTGGCAGAAATCAACTTAAGTGATGAGGATTGGTGAGGGATTGATGAAGCGTGATTAGTGGTATTATCCATACGGCTGAGTGCCTGCCTTGTTCACACTGCTGAATACATTGTTCAGGCAACAATGAAGTGTTAATGTACTAAATAGGATGCTTAAAGACGCTCAATTCGATACCTTTTTCATTAAGTTCAACTATGATGAATTACGATGCAAAACAAATATGTTTTGGACAAAATCGCACTATTAAAAAAAAAAAGTTAGTTACTCTTGGGACGACCAGAAAGTCTATACAGTAGCAGAGCAAATCAGTGACTTTATAACCTCAAAAATTCTGCATAAGAGAAGCTTACAACGACGTTTCGGTCCGACTTGGAGAGAGAAGTTTACGACGACGTTGCGGTCAGACTTGGACCATTTACAAAGTCATTGTGACTTTGTAAATGGTCCAAGTCGGACCGAAACGTCATGGTAAGCTTCTCTCTCCTATGTGCGGTTTATTTGTGTATTGTTCCAGTCACGGTATTGTGACTTTTTGTTCTCGAATATTCCTTTTACATCCAACGTAGAGAGGAATATGCGAAAAAGTCAATTAAGAATATTATAAGCAGAGCAGATAAGAGTAATAGGGTCGTTATCCTCTAATAACACTGTTTATATATCATAAGTTGAGACAATGTTGGAGACGAAAGTCTATTCAGAAGGTTTCAAGTTTAGTCCATTTTACCATGCAATAAAGGTTAGAAGATAGGCTTTACAGGCGCCTAAGTGACTCGAAAAAAAGAAATATTTCAGAGGATAATTTTGAACAATATATATATTCTGGTTCTTCTCTTGGATTATTATTAACGAGAATAAGCGCCAAACCCGTATGGATGTTACAGCTCCTCTCCCTGAGTTATGTATGGATTTCCCATGATGCAAAACGGGGTACCATTCATATGTTAATTACCCAACTCAGAATTTTACCTCAGCATTGAACGCGAATTATATTAAAGAGTTGTTTTATATTTCATTTTTTTTTAAAGTTTAAAGATTCCATCCATGATTGTTTAGTCGTGATGATTAAGACACGTGCAACAGTTATTGTTGAAACGTTTCGCCTACACAGTAGGCTTCTTCAGTCAAATACAGAGGCAGCAGGTGTAGTAGTGAAATGAAGATCAGTCCATCAACCTTGGAGAAATAGTATTTATGGTAGTCAGTCCCTCAGCCTGGAGAAGAGCTCAGCTCCATGGAGCTGAACTTTTCTCCAGGCTGAGGGACTGACTACTATAAATACCATTTCTCCAAGTTTGATGAACTGATCTTCAGTTCACTACTACACCTGCTGCCTCTGTATCTGGCTGAAGGAGGCTACTGTGTAGGCTTTCAGCAAGACACCCAAATGCTGCACATGTGTCTTAATCAACCTGTCGGTATTTTATACCATTTTCAACGTAATTGTTCAGTCGTCTATAATAATACAAGTGTATGAGATGCAAGTCTCAGTGTACTGGAAAAACAAGGCTCAGGGATCATAGTTTTGTTGGTATATAACACCGTCAAGGTGATGAGAGCGATGTGCAACACTTGGTATCCATAGGTTTTGGCAACAGAAATATCCAAGTGTTGTAAACGTTTGTTCATCAAGACAGCTCAGGGCTGGAGTTGCTCAACACCTGGTTATATCATTCAGAACGTAACTGGTGTGTAAACTATCATAAACACCTGGTTATATCATTCAGAACGTAACTGGTGTGTAAACTATCATAAACACCTGGCTATATCATTCAGAACGTAACTGGTGTGTAAACTATCATAAACACCTGGCTATATCATTCAGAACGTAACTGGTGTGTAAACTATCATAAACACCTGGCTATATCATTCAGAACGTAACAACTTGCTGGGTAAACTATCATAAACACCTCTCTATATCATTTAAAACGTAACAACTGATGTGTAAACTATCATAAACACCTGGCTATATCATTCAGAACGTAACTGCTAGGTAAACTACCATAAACATCTGCTGGGTAAACCATCTTAACCTGTTAGATATTAGAAATCACTCGGTAATTAACACTTCGTTCAAAGTGATCAGTTACCCTTCACGCTGAGAGTTGTCTTTAATCCATGTTTTAGGGATTAAAATATTCTTAACCGGTAGTGAACAAGGAACATTCAGTCTTAACGACCATTTGAGTATTCCACAAGCTTTAATAAGCCAAATGAGGCACGCAGCCTTCAGACTTGAAGGCTGTGAGTGAACACCATGCTGCTGCGCATGTAAGCGTGTGTGTGAAAGGAACTTCTAACAAGTTCACTGGTTCCTTCCTCCCGTATCTCTCTCTCCAGTACGTTGTTATGGCAGTGTGCAGATTTGGGACCAGGCTATCGAGTACTTTCCAGGTATTTATTATCTTTCCAGGTATAGGGTGTGAAGAGAGGCAGGGAGGGAGGTGTGAGATGTAAGGAGGAGGGTGTAAGGAGAGGGAGGTGTAAGGAGTGAGGGTGTGAGGATATAAGGGGTGGGAAGTGTGAGGATAATGAGGGACACGCACAGATCATGAAGCTGGACACAACACATGCAACACGTAACTTGTACAGATTAATAGTAAATTGTATTTACAAGTCATAGCTGGTGTAGCGGTATTTGAGTCAGTATGAAAATTTCATTATTGTACTCTTGCTACTTACTCACTACTCCCTCTCAACATATTATGCAACTCCAAACTCAAGAAAATATAACAGAAATTACTGTTTTGATAATTCTTAAATACACAATCAAAATAAGAAACCATATCACTGATGGAGCAACTGTAACAATACTTTATTAACAGTCACTACAGGGTCAACAGTTAAGTTACTGTAGTCAATAATCTCTAACCTAATTTGGCCAAAATGCTGAGCACAACAAGCGGCTTTCTATATGGTAGTATATCACTAATATCAACTAGGACTGTATACTTTGTATATATACTTGTAGAAAATAAAGACATTATATTAACAACAGTCACTGCAGTCAACAATCTCTCAAAAATAGTTACTGCAGTTAACAAACTCTCAACAGCAGTTACTAAAGTCAGCAATCGCTCACTAACAGGCACTCTAAAATTAACATCTCACAGTAAAGAAAGCAGGCCCAACAACAAGCCCAGAGAGAGAGAGAGAGAGAGGGGGGAGAGAGAGAGAGAGAGAGAGAGAGAGAGAGAGAGAGAGAGAGAGAGAGAGAGAGAGAGAGAGAGAGAGAGAGAGAGAGAGAGAGAGAGAGAGAGAGAGAGAGGAGAGAGAGAGAGAGGGGGGGGAGGCAGAAAGCAGCAACTTCACTCTGGCTGTACCCTTCTCCAGAACATCACTTCATCTGAGATCATATATACCCAGGATGACTCGAGTATGGAACACATTCGTACAGCATTATGATGTCAACGAGATGAAGTCAATTGATCAAATGAAAATGCTGGCCCACAGATGGCTCCAACTTCATCCTGTTCCCTACTTGTATGTTTCATAACAATAAAAATACTGTACTTGTATGTTTCATAACAATAAAAATGCTTTCAAATGAGCTGATGTAGGTAACAGCTCTTAGCTTGTCAATAAAGTTGGGAGTCCTTAACCTGTAAATAGCTTGTCAATAAAGATAGACAGACAGACAGACAGACAGAAGACTGACCTTAAAATCGATATAGCCGTTCTTGTCCATGTCGAAGGTTCTGAAGACGTGGTCACAGAACTCCTCCGCGTTGCCTGATGGGAAGAACATTTTGTACATGTCGACGAACTTGTCTGGTGTGAGGCGGCCGCTCGGGCAGTCTTGCTGTGGGAGAGAAACAAACCTAGTTACTAATTGTTGGTGAGAGAGAGAGAGAGAGAGAGAGAGAGAGAGAGAGAGAGAGAGAGAGAGAGATCCACTCTCAGGACAGCGAGAAGCAAGCTTCTATACCACAAGACGGGCAGGAAGTAGCAACTTCACTCTGGCTGTACCCTTCTCCTGAACATCACTTCATCTGAGATAATATATACCCAGGATGACTCGAGTATGGAACACATTCGTACAGCATTAAGATGTCAACGAGATAGTTGATCAAATGAAAATGCTGGCCCACAGATGGCTCCAACTTCATCCTGTTCCCTACTTGTATGTTTCATAACAATAAAAATGCTTTCAAATGAGCTGATGTAGGTAACAGCTCTTAGCTTGTCAATAAAGTTAGGAATCCTTAACATGTAAATAGCTTGTCAATAAAGATAGGGACCCTTAAACTAACCTTGCCAAACCCTGTGCAAAAAAAAAAAAAAAAAAAAAAAAAAAAAAAAAAAAAAAAAAAAAAAAAAAGCGAGAGAGAGACTGGAGGGGGTGAGGAAGTTGTGGCAGGTGACAAACCCGCACTGCGCTACTTTAAAACTTTCCCTCACTACTACAGGTGTTGCCTTGCAACTCTGCATAGCTATTGACGCACTGAGAAGTGTGAAGTACTTGAGCTAAAGATTTCCACCCCAAGTGGGTTGTCTGGCGCATATATATATATATATATATATATATATATATATATATATATATATATATATATATATATATATATATATATATAATATATATATATATATATATATACAGACCATCCGCATCGATGTTGCCCTTCGACTTGCCGCCCCTATTCTCGCCGAACACAGGTGTATTTGTGGCAGTGAAGCAGCAGACCGATTCGGGTACCATGGTCTTGTGTGCCGTAAATCCGAGGGAAAGATTACAAGACATGAGGAGGTTAATAACATTATCAAGAGGAGCCTCACAACAGCTGGATGCCCAGCAGTAAGGGAGCCACCCCAACTATGAAGATCTGATGGCAGCCAGAAGCGTCCAGATGGTATCACCCTTCAAGCCTGGACAGATGGGAAGCAGGTGGTGTGGGACTATACATGTGCATCTACCTTGGCTGATACCTATCTCCAATACACCAGGGAGGAAGGAGGGGCAGCTGCCAGCTTCAGGGAGTCCCAAAAGTCTAGAAAATATGGAGAACTTGCCCATCATTATATGTTTGTTCCCATAGGCTCAGAGACCCTTGGCTCATGGGGAAAGAGTGCATCTAAATTCCTTAAGGAGCTGGGAAAAAGACTCATCAGGGTAACTAGGGATCCCAGGGCAGCTAGTTTTCTGTTCCAGCGGCTCAGTGCGGCTGTTCAAAGGGGTAATGCATGCTGTATTTTGGGCACACGCCCCAGCTCTGAGGAGCTGGATGAGATTTTCGCCTTATAATCGGTGATACACACGTAACAACATGTACCGTATATGCCACCTTTATATCAATAATGTATCTCTTAAATCTTCTGTACCATATTATGTAATAAAATATTCCTATTAGTAAAAAAAAAAATAAATATGAAAAGATGGGGTGGTAGGGGAAGTGGAATATTCAAACGGCTTCAGGAAGAAATCCAAATATTTTTCCTTGAAGCCTTTTTATCCACTTCTCCGAGGCTATGGGTCCCACAATTTACACCAGAGGTGGACCCCCCCCCCCAAAAAATATATATATATATATATATATATATATATATATATATATATATAATATATATATATATATATATATATATATATATATATATTTTGCACACTGAGACGTTTTCACGTCCCTCAGCCGTATAGGAAGACTCTCACACAAATTCTAGTGGGTTTTGTGAGGTATATTATTCCCTGCCTCATGTAGAGCAGCCTTCAGCCACGGGATGGAACTGATATTCTTGCCCAGTAAACTTCGTTTCACTATTGACCAGAGGTTCTCAATAGGGTGTATCTCTGGGGAATTGCCTGGCCAGTCACTAAAGAACCTCACTTCACAGTCCTTAAGCCAATGAACTACAGATCTGGCGGTATGACATGTTGTACTGTCCTGTATAACAACTTTAGCCCCACACTTGTTAAACGCCTCAGGTAAATTGTCACACAGTAACTCCAGGTAATTATATTGGTTCATATACTGGTTTTTTGGGAAGCACAATGAGTTGACCAACACTCTGAGCACTGAAACACCCCAAAACCATAAGCGAGTCTGGGCGTTTGGTGGTCCCACAGGTGTAGGGTGGGTCTAGCAGGTCACTACCTCTGGGCTGGTACACGTGTCCCCCACTGATACAGGTGACGGTGGGGTTGCTTCACCACTCCAAAGTACTTCAGACCACTGTTGAGGATTCCAGTGAAGATATTTCTTTGCATAATCCAGCCTATGTTTCTTCTGTGGCTTGGAGAGGCTGGGCTACAGTAGTCACCTGGCGGTGACTACTGTAGCCCAGTTCTGACACACGTCTGTTAACAGTTCTTACAGACACCTCTGAGAGAAGATGTAGTTTCTTTTCTTTCAAATCTCTAGAAGTTATTTTAGATGTACTCTCTAACTGCTTCTTTAACATAGTTAAGGTATGAACAGATGTCTTCTTCGAGGGGCCAGGCTGAGGTTTGACGGACGGTAACTCGACACTGCACCTAGTTCCTCACTGAATGCTCTTACACACCAACATTCTCCACTATTTCTTTCATCTGGTGCCCAGTTTTGTGAAGCCCTATGATTTGAGCTATAGTTTCAGGTGTTAAAGACTTCCTTTTACACATAATCAAACATGTATAGCCCCAAAACCAAAGGGAACACCGGACAAAAGATGGGGTGGATGAGAGACAAAAATGCACCACGGCAGCCACGTGAGCACCGAGGAGTCACTGTGGAATGTGGAGGCAGGCCGTGACGTCATGATACGGCTGCTACCCGTCATAATGCACTGACAAAAAAGACCCCCTGTATGGTAGGCCTTTGATTTTCGTCACAGCATTATGTCGGGGCGCTCAGCCGGCATAATGCCGTGACTAGCACTGTGTAAGTGTGTATGTATATATATGTATATGTACAACACAATACACACTTCAAAAAACAGAATCACCTGGGTGTTTTTCTTGTGCTTGCAAACACATTCTAAAGTGTTAGAAAGACGAATCAAAGGTAACATTTTATAGGTTCCCGAGAGAGAGGAGACTCCCCAAACTTTAACTTTAAAGGAAAAGCACAGTAGGCCTACTGATCAACTGGAGACAGGTCCCCGCCTCGGAACCAATTTTATGTAAACGTGTGGTAATGCTAATAGATTAACCTTGTAATTAATAAATTATTAACTATTGTCAAACATATAATAGGAGAAACAAGTCATCAACCAAACAGAGAATGGTGTATGGATACACAATTATGACCATAAAGATTGCGAGGCCTGGTCACGGATCGGGCCGCAGGGGCGTTGACCCCCGAAACACCCTCCAGGTAGGTATACGCATTTTAGGTCACAATTCGGGAGCAAGCGCACAACGATATCGTCTAACACATGAACGGAATAACAGTTAGATTCTACTGACAAACTTTTAACAGGATTAACAAGAGATGAAATAAAATGAGCGAGTTGTTCCTAAAGGCTCTGTTAAGATTCATAAAAGTATCGCCAATGATGGTTTTTTCAATCCTCTTAAAGATAGCTGGCAAAAACACTATATAGTGAAGAGAGGTCAGGTGTGACCTAGTCAGAGCGATGTGGTCACATGTCGGAGAAGAGAAGGCGGGGTCGTGTAGTGCATGTCACCTGACATTTGTGGTCTTGCTTCCTAAGTTTTGTATGATAATGCCTAAAACCGCAATTGATGAAGCTTCTAAGCATTGGTGTTTCAATAAATCATATTCTCTGATGAGTAAGTCTGCTCCTCTTCCCCATTTCAGATGTGACTAAGTGATATGATGTTGCTTACATAACAGTTGCTGGCATATTTGTGGTTCAAGGTTCTGACTCTTACCCCGGTGTAGACTTGGCATCCTCCTCCACAAGGTATCCCCTACAACCCAGCACTGTTCGCAAAGCTACTGGCTGGTTTCGACTTAACCATGTCTCTGATGATGGCCCTGGAACTGGCTGCTACTTTCACACAACGTCTGCGAGAGCTTGAGGATTATGCAAATGAGGGGAAACGGAAGCACAACTGGTGGAAGTTGTTTCTTGTGTCGTTGCTGCTGTTTCTGATGGTGTGGAGCTTACACCTACACCCAGAGACGAAGCACGGCAGGAACTACAGCCTTCCGAACACATGCCTGATGTACCCGTAGTCCTGGGCTAAAGATCCTATAGGACCTAAGAAAGAAGCCTGTGATGACTCTCCTCTTGGTTCTAGTGTCGTGGCGCGAGTGGAAGTGTATAAGGTCCGTCCTGTTGGAGGGTTTTCTGTGTACCTTAAATAACAATCTGTCACCTCTGGCGTATAGCAGGAACTCCAGGCATGGTAGCTGGTCGTCATTCTCCTCTAGCAGTGAATTTAATTAATAATGGGCTCCATGGTAAGGATGTCTTGTATATTGCGTCCTTTGGGAAAAATGACCAGCATACTTTAGATACACCTTTGATAGATTTAGAATGATTTCCTACTCTCGCAGCCCGGTCCTGGGCCAGGCTTGTCTGGATGCTTTCTTAATCAACCAGGCTGTTGTTGCTGGCGGCCCACTGGCCCACATATCCATCACAACCTAGTTGATCCGGCGCTTAGTGGAGGAAATTGTCAAGTTTTCTCTTGAAAATTTTATACTTGTTCTTATAAGTAAGACGTTAAATAATCTGGGGCCACGGATGCTGCTTGTGTGTTCTCATATTTTGCCCAAGTGCCTCTGCCTTTCACTGGGTTTATTCTACACATTTTCCCATATCTCTCACTCCACTATATTATGGCAGCATGTAGATTTGCGACCAGGCTTTCAAACACTTTCCACGTATTCATTATCTTTTATTTCTTTCTCC